TGCCGTATTTCTACGTGAAACCATATTAGCTGCATGTATATAAGTGTGTGTTTTAGTTATTATATTTTTATGTGACAGCGTTCCACTGATGATAATCACAAGAAAATGATATGGAACTTATATTTCTTCATTTTTTGCTGTTGTTATGAGTGCACAATTGATCTTATTTATTGCCATTTTACGACTGTTGTTCTTAGTGTTATTTCTCTAACTTAGATTTTCTATTGTAATTTGAAATTTGGACTTCACGGAGAATTTTCAAAGTGTTAGGAAATTTGAGGCCACATGCCACGTGCTGCTCTGTTCTCTCCGAAACTCAACACTTGCAAGCCAGATATGAAAGAAAGAAAAAAACTCCGTGAAGTCCAAATTTGAAATTGCAATTTGCGTTGGCTCGCAGTGGACATTGTTTGATGCGCTCCCCATGATATCAAGCGAATGGCCGAGGGCCCTCTTGATTGGTGTGAGTTGCCAGTATGATGCAAGCCAGATATTGATTGATCGAAGAAGGCTAGATTTACCATCACTGTGGATAAGAGTCATACTGTAGCTCAGTTGGTTAGAGCATTGCTCGCGAATAGCAAGGTCACTGGTTCGGTGGTGTGACCGATGATTTTTCTTTCTTTCATATCTGGCTTGCAAGTGTTCAGTTTTGGAGAGAAAAGAGCAGTACGTGGCATGTGGCCTCAAATTTCCTAACACTTAGATTTTCTATAATAGTTCAATTTCGTTTTCAGTGTCCTTTAGTACAACGACGATTCCTGATGAGTGTTGTGCGAAAGCTTGTTTGAATCCTTATTTTCTCTACACCATTTCTTCACATTTTCATCATTTCATTGCACATTGTCTCCACAGCTTTACATCGCATGAATAAAGTGTACACAATTGTCGATTCAGCTTGTATTATTGATTGCGGTTATCAAATCATAATTTTTTCTTTTCTTTTTTTCTTTCAGTCTCCCTTACTATAATTTTCTTCACATACAACAGCAACAAAAAACGGATAAAGCCGCCCCTATAATAGTAATAATAATAACAGCTGGCATGTACCCCAAATGCTCCGGCGGATTGTGCTCGCGAAATCATGGAATTATGCTTTCATGGATTCTTGCATTATGCCTGCAAAATCCTCATATTATGCTTTGGCACGCGGGGATGCAGATTCCCTTCATTTGTACTTACGGAGCCTCAAAGTGTGGAAAATTGTGCCTTTTTCGCACTTGCCAGTGGCCATAAGTACATGCACAAGCAAATACATGAGTATCCCCATACCAAGGTGTCCATGCATGCAAGAGATCAACATGGAAAAGAGAAAACTCGGATACTGAGCCAGTAATAAAATTTAATGTAAAAATAAAAGAGAAGAAACACATGAGAACGAGTTGTGCAGCAACTATCCACGATGGTAATATGTCTCAGTAGCCTGTCAGTTTTTGTGCTCTATTATCGCACTTTCTGACTGTTTATCATCTTGTTACAGTCGTGGATAGCTGCTGCATAACTCGATCATTCTCATGAGTCATGTGTTTCTTCTCTTTTTTTACATTTATAAAAGAGAACACATTACTTATTTTGGGGAAGAGTGTGTTGCTCCCTACATGGGAGCTCGCGGCTTTCCTGCCGACTTGAATTCTCACTTGACTGACTCACGACTGCCATCCAGACTTTGACCAGAGCACACGAGACGCCCATCGAACCGTCCACTCGGCAAACCTGCAAGAAAGCACCACTCCCTGCTAAATACACAGTGTTTCGGGGAATTCAACCCTCATCAGTTGAGCTTAATTAGGCGGAGGAAGATTGTGCCTGAAGAGCACCACTTATTATAGTGCTATCCAGGCACAAACATCACCAGGGATACAAACTTACAGAGGCGCTCCGTTTCCAGCGCGACAAAGTTGAAACACCTCGTGAAGACCAGATAGCAAAAACGTCAGACGCACCATGGCTTCCAGCTGAAGTGGACACCCCCTCCCACAGCCCCTGACTACCTCCTGCGATCCTTCCCCTTTTTCGCCATCACATCCTGGAACAACCTGCCTGCGGACCTCCTGCTTCACGAACCTCATTCAAGATGCCTCCAAACCTTCAAGGTCAACGTATGTAAGGATCTAATCCGAAAGAGATGGCTGTGGTCCACACAGTACCTGTGACGATGATATTGAGACCCATTTAGTATTTACCTCTGCTCTCTACTAGTACTTGCTTGTTATCATTATTGTTCTCTTTTTTCTTTTTCCCTTCTGGTTTAGTTATTACACGTATATATATTATTTGGTGCAATACTAGCGCCCCTTTCTCGCACCAAATTATTATTTTTGCTACTTGACCATGCAACCTCCCTTTTTTCGATGCCAGGTTGCAACGCTAACGCCGAGACCCCTGGTCGGTCGAGTTGCTCCCTGTACATCGGCACGTTGTCCCTACATCCCCTGTGTCTTATTTTGTGTTTGTCTCCACATGTCTCTTTGTAGGGCTGTGTTTCCAATAAAATAAAATAAATAAATAAAAATAGCAGCGTGAGTCAGTGTCGCTCATGTGTGCTCTGGATGGCAATGGCAGTCGTGAGTCAGTCAAGTGAGAACTCAAGTCGGCAGGAAAACCGCGAGCTCCCATGTAGGGAACAACACACTCTTCTCCTACTATCACCGAAGTCGCAACAACCTCTTCTTCACATTCTTGTCCCCAGCCCGGGCTTGCGAATTAGATGGTTTGGAGGCAACAACGTTGTGAACGGCCAACGGCCCACTTGTTCAGCATTTCCATGAGCGACACTGGCTCACGCTCGACTATGGGTGCTGTCCCGACAGAATTTCAAGTTGACGTCATTTTGATGATGCAATGCGCACTGTACACGGATTATTAGACGAATCCGGAACCTGTGGTTGACCGAAGCCGATCTGATACTGTACAAATTAATTTAATTACAGTCAACTTCGCTAATAACGACTGCGGATATAACGACAATTCGCGAATAACGACCGAATTTCCATGCCCAGAGCAAAGTCCCATCTAACTGTATACATTTAACTTCGGATATAACGACTATCTGAATAACGACAATTCGCGTATAGCGACATGCTTTTAGTGCCCCGTGGTCATATTCACTGCTTGAATAACGACTTTCTGGGCTTTTGACAGCTATTTCTGACATGTCACATGACAATCGACATGGCAACAGCGAATCCTAGCGCGACTTGCCGTGCTTTGAATCAGCCACTGAAGACCTGTGAGCGCTTGCAGGTCTCCGATTTTCCAATCGGAGCACGCCCAGGCGTGCTCCGATTGAATCGGAGCACGCCTAGGCGTGCTCCGATTCAGCCATCAGAGGCCGCTTTTTTTTTTTTTAGGCGGGAGTGGAGCGCCGGTATGAAAGCACCTGTAGGCTGTAGGCTGTAGTCACTGCGAAGAAGAGAAGCTGAACTGACCTGGTTTTTAGCTGACTAGACCGCCCTTGTTTTATCTCTGTGTTGTGACTGTGTACATTAGTCATTATGTAACATGTCTGAAGTACTAAACTGGCGACTAGTTGTGTTCCTTGTCTGGTCTAGTGTGCGTGCCTTGAGTAGGTACTAGGTATGTGTGAAGTACTACATGTAGTAGTACTAGTAGTACGAAGTAGTTCGTGCAATGCATGTCAGAAATGGTATCAAAGCATTCGTACTCGGACTCAAGTGCTAGAATCGGAGCCCTCCGCGCTAGCGCGCGTCGGGCTCCGATTCCGCACTTTCGTCCTCGTACTCATGCTCGATTCCATACTTCAAGTACCTGTCAGTCAAGTACAATACCTGTCATGCAGAAGTACCAGAACCTATGGCTATGGTGCACTGGTGATGGATATTATCAAGAGTACATAACCCCCCAGAGTGTGCAACGCCTGATCCAGCTCTGCATAGGGTCTTGGTCGAGCGGAATCGGATCTTTGCGTCATACTACCGTACACATCTGAGGGGAACCCGGGGAGTCGCGGGTACTCTTGGATCAAAAACAATGGTGCCCTGCCTCGAGACCGGCCTTGCGCTGGTGTGAAGTGTACGCATGACATCAGAAGATCCGATTCCGCTCGACCAACACCCTATGCAGAGCTGGATCGGCGTTGCACACTCTGGGGGGGGGGTTATGTACTCTTGATATTATTGCACACATGCAAGAAAATGCAGCCAAGGGGGGGGGGCTTTTCTTCCTTTTTTATGTTGGCTTCAAAATTGTTGGATTTACCAGCACACCTATATGTATACAATGTACATGTAGTTGTACATGATTGTACAATAATCATCATACATGTACATGTCCCTGGCCCTGTAGATGGCTCCAAAAGGCATATTTTTCAATTGATTTCCCTTGCATATTGAATTTTTAGTTCCTTTCAACTGCAATATGAAAATAAAGTACACATTGACATAGAGCAAGAAAAGAGCTTGATTTTGATATGCATATCATACTATACAAAATAGGGAGTAGTACAATACCGGGAGGTGACACGGGCACACATCCGGGATTACGAGCTTTGCCTCACAAAAAAAATACAAACCGCGCGAAAATTCAAATTTTTGCTCTTTTGACAGCGCTGAGAAACCTTCAAATAGTGACGAGAAGACCAGACGTATCCCTTCGTGACAAGCTGCCACTTGTTCTTTTCAGCTCGAGCCTTTTTTGGGAGCTACTCTGGTACATCGTCCACACTGCTGCCAAGTCTCCACTTCCCAAAATGGATGGAAGTGACGAATATGGAGGACGCTATCCTAGGTAAGTAACGTGATGGAATTTTCTCATCTTGACATGGTGTAACACGAACCTGAATTTCTCATTTGGACCCACTCGGACACCTCACCAAGTTGGGATATTTCGAAACTATACCTATTTGTCTACCATTCTACTTCATCTCAACGTGTTAGCTTATGTAACTCTTTGGAAAACTCATTCCGAAAATTTTGAAACTTATTTATTTGTATAGACTTGAACATAATGTTCAAGATCCCTTGTTTTCAGCACTGAATTATTATTATTATTATTATTATTATGAAATGACCCAAAGGCAATGTGCCTATCGAGGGGTTCATTTGATTGAAAGAACAGTAGATGTAGATGTATGTACAAAGAGAAGTAGGGATTGATGAGGAGAGAAATGGGGAAGATCAACTGCAAGGTGGCGGAATTCCGTTGATTGCATAAGCATAGTCAGCTGTAAATTTCCTGAGGGCAGCTTTGAACTTATAGAGCGAGGCTTCCGATGTTAGACTGGGGGGTAAACAGTTCCATAGAATAGCAGTTCGGAACATGAAGAGAGACTTAGACAATGATTTAAATTTGGGAAGAATGATTTTATTTGGTCGTCGCTCACTATTCGTAATCTTGAAATGGAAATCAGCAAGGTAATCACGATGATGGAAAACATATCTGTGAAAAGTAGTGAGACTGATGATTTGACGACGATAGGCTAGTGACTCTAGGGAGCATTTAGAATTTAAGACAGATTTGGAAGAAGTGTAATCAAATGCAATTTTTTTCTTTTTCAGTAGAGCTCTAGCAAACCTTGCCTGTAATTGATCAAGAGTGGTCATGGGTTTCTTATTAGATCCAAACGACCACACCGTACAGCTATATTCGATCACAGGTCTTACGAACCCTTTGTACAGTATGATCATTGCCGAAGGCGTAAGTTGCTGGGACATAATTGACAGTAGGTGCACTCGATATCTGAACTTCGAAGTTATTGAGGCGACATGTTTGCGGAAATCCAGGTTGTCGGTCAAGGTGATGCCAAGATGTTGCAGGTCAGAAACCACCGTTAATGGCTCATTGTACATTTGGTATTGGATTCCTGCAGTAGGTGTATCATTGATAGCTCTATGGCACAGCACGGATGTCTTGCTTGCTGAGAATTCACCTCCATTGTTCCTGCCCCATGTTTGACATGCATCGAGATCAGACTGCATGAATGAGGCCAGGCCTGCTTGCTTTGTTGCTTTTTTAACCCCCAGAACCCGTGGACAGAAGAGGAAGAGCGACGACTTGGGTGCGGCTGCGAAGTCTGCCTGCCCAACGCCAATTGCTCCTCACCCAAAAAGTAAACAAATTATATAGCAGGAGTGGTTTCAAGTGGTTTCAATGCATTGTGTTTTTGGGATGTTGGTGTGTACTTATGCAGTCCTAGCGTGTTGAGCAATAGCAAAGCACTGCAACTATGCACCACCCCCCGTGGTACTTCACAACCGAGTTAGCCGCTTGATCCATGGTGCGGCGAGCAACCTCCATGTGCATAGGGTTGCTCGGAGCTGTGGCTGCTGACGCAGGCTTCCTATTCATAGTGAAATCAAGAAGAAGGGCAAATAGTGCACCGGACACTCTGACACCTGTACAAAACACCAATCCACGCACACACACACACACACACACACACACACAAACACGCACTGTCTATGAAAAAAAAACACTTCAAAGTACAATTTGGTACAATAAATCTCAACAGCGCAATAGGAACAGAAAATGACCAGTATGATGATGACATTACCTGTACTTGCAGAACTGGTGTCTAGCTCTTGGAAAATGGTTGACGAATTGCGAAGTAAATCAGTCCACACATTTGAGACATTCGTGCACTCTCCTCTCCTTAATTTTCCTAAGGCCTTGTTCTTGAAAAACAACGTCTGCTGCTGCTCACAATTTATTATTGCCTGCCGAAAGTGAACTATGAACAGCTCCACGTTTGCAGGGTGCTTGTCCAGTGACCAGAGTTGCTGAGCTACTGCCACCTCATGTTGGCAGTAGCGTTGCATGTCCGAGTCCTTGCACAGATCTGGTGAGATGTAACCCAAAGAGAAATGAAAATGTGAATGACTGAAAGTCAACAAACTATACTCTGTTGAAGACACACTCTTACCTGCTGCCCATGTCAAAATACTGGACACACTGAAGGTATCCGGCTGAGGTACAATGGCTACTTGGCATACCTCGTCTGATTCCTCCTCGTCACTAGGAAAAACTAAAACATTTGTTGTCTCCATTGCACAGACAAACTTCTTGGACAGGTTCTGGAAAACAAGAATGACTATGGTGATGTTGTGGCACCAAAACCTTTTGTCACTGGCAAATATACACCCACACACCTACACACACCCTCGTGTACTTGTACACCACACGCGCACGCGCACGTGCGCATACATACAACTATTCGTCTGTATCCTTTTGTGTTTGACATGATTCCACGGTGCCATGAAAGTAACATTGGTGCCATAAAAGTAACATTGGTTATAATCAAGGAGTAATGGTATTGTACGATTCTGATTGCGTATGCTCTTGGTGGCCATATATATCAGGAAGTAGTACAATACCGGTATTGTACTAGTAGTACAATACCGGTATTGTACTACTCCCAGATATATACTATAGTTCATCGTCACGCAGCTCCCCACAAAGTACAAATTGTAGTAAAAGCAATTACGTACTAATACGTATAGTAATATGCAGACACATACAACTAGTAGTCACACAAAGTATCTATAATAAGCACACGTACTAGGAATAGTACGTAAGCAGGCTATCTTTATCCTTTTACGCTTGGTCTGATTACCTGCATACACGACTTACACGGCACGGTCTTCCACGGCATGGTCACTTGCACCAGTAACATTGTACATAATTCCACACTGCCTTTATCATCAACACCAGTTCCTGTTAACGCGTAACATCTCAGGCTTTGTAGCAGGGAGTAGCACAGTGCCATTGTACCATTGTGCTACTCCCTGCTTGACACAGACTTGCGTCATAGTGACATTTGCGAATAGCTGCCCCTGCAGTATAAAATTTATTTTATTTTGTGTTTCTCTCTGACGACTATAGCATCTGGATTCGGAATAGCCTTACTATCTTGAGACGGGTCAGCCATACCTGAAACATGTTGTTCATTGTGACTAAAACTTGAGTCAACATTATCTATTCCCCTAGAAACGACGTGAATAACTAAATGTAATACAAATTAAATTAGGAAGAAAATTTCACTCTTACAAGCCGCCCACGTAAATACTGGACACACTGAAGGTACCCGTGCGAAGGCCAGCTGCTACTTGATATCCTTCGTAGGATTCATCCTCATCACTCAGCAAAGACTGATGGATTCGTTCCCTACATCGTCAAAACAAACTTCAAAAAGTACTGCTCGAAAACTTCTTGACAGCATTCTGCCACTCTCTTCAAGTCGTTCTATGAATTTTTTTGAAAAATGCTACGAAATGCTACGATAAATGGTACGCGAAGTACGATATTTCGTGACGTTTCCCGGGACACAGCGCGCAAAGTACGATATTTCGTGACGTTTCCCGGGACACAGCGCTCCACAGAAAAGTGACCTGAGGCAAAGCTCGCCCGCCTGAATGTGTGGCCGTGTCACCTCCCGGTATTATACTACTCCCTGATCAGAAGATCCGATTCCGCTCGACCAACACCCTATGCAGAGCTGGATCGGCGTTGCACACTCTGGGGGGGTTATGTACTCTTGATATTATTGCACACATGCAAGAAAATGCAGCCAAGGGGGGGGGGGCTTTTCTTCCTTTTTTATGTTGGCTTCAAAATTGTTGGATTTACCAGCACACCTATATGTATACAATGTACATGTAGTTGTACATGATTGTACAATAATCATCATACATGTACATGGCCCTGGCCCTGTAGATGGCTCCAAAAGGCATATTTTTCAATTGATTTCCCTTGCATATTGAATTTTTAGTTCCTTTCAACTGCAATATGAAAATAAAGTACACATTGACATAGAGCAAGAAAAGAGCTTGATTTTGATATGCATATCATACATGTACTATACAAAATATGGGTTCACATACATTCAAATGGGACTTCGGTTATAAGGACACTTCGCGAATAAGGCCACTGCTAACACCTCTTACAACTGCTCTCAGACTCCTACCCCTCCGCGACATGCCTTCCGCAAGGTTACACCCTCCACTTGGTCAATCATCAACTCTGCACTTTTTGCCTGTGACTGGCATCTTTTATTCACCTCCACTACTGTTGATGAAGCTGTGGAGAAGTTCACCACAGTTCTTGATGACGTGCTCTCCTTCTATGTGCCACAATACGGAGCAAGACCCGCTACACCCAAACATGGCAGCCACCACCCTCGTCAGTCCAGCCGTAACCCCAAGATCCCTTGGCTCGACAAAGATCTCCAAGGTGCAATTAAACTCAAATACGACTACTATAGCTTAAGTAAGAAGTACTCCACCTATGCTAATATTTCTTTATACAAAAAACAGCGCAATCTGGTGAAGTCATTGTCACGTTCTAAGTATCGAGCATATTTACGTTCGCTCACTACCACCCTATCTCACCCCTCTTCCAGGCCTAACCTGTATACCTTTGTTCGCACTCAAAGGACAACTAGTACACGTCAAGACATACCACCGTTATTAGCTTCCAATGGTTCGATGGTGACTGACCCCAAGTCTATAGCTAATACTCTCAATACGCAATTCACATCAGCTGGTATTCCAGACGACCATTCCTCTCCAATACCACCTCTGCAGCGTTCTGCGACTGTGTCTTCTGATCTGCGCTCTATACATACCACCACATCATCTGTTCGCAGCTACCTAAAAAGACTAAAAAGCAACAAAAGCCCTGGTCCTGATGCCCTACCAAATGAAGTTCTCAAAGTTCTGGCTCCATCTCTGGCGTACCCACTGTGCCTTATATTCAACCTTTCCTACTCCTCCGGCGTATTTCCTGATCGTTGGAAGATCGCTAAGGTCACGCCCATCTACAAGTGTAAAGGCTCCCGATCACAAGCCTCAAACTATCGTCCAATATCTCTTCTCTGCTCCCTTTCAAAAGTATGTGAAAAGGTATTTTACGACCAGTTGTATTGCCACATTTCACCATGCCTTAGCCCTTCCCAATCTGGCTTTCGGCGCAACGACTCAACCTCTGACCAACTAGCTCGTCTAGTACAAGACATTGCCACCCTTCGTGATGCTCGACACCATATTGCTCTCTGTTTCTTTGACTTGGCAAAGGCCTTTGATACTGTCTGGCATCGTGGCCTCCTTGCCAAGCTACATATTGTCTTTGGTGTGTCTGGCCCTGCTCTGTCCTGGCTGGAGTCCTATCTGAGTAGCCGATCACAGTTTGTTTCTGCCCTCTCCATCAACTCTGATCCTCTACCAGTGTCTTCTGGAGTTCCCCAAGGCTCCATACTTGGACCTCTTTTGTTCGTAGCATACGTAAATGATTTACCCTCTATAGACCCAGGTGTCTCGTTATTTGCTGATGATACAACCCTACTGTCAGCATCCTCGTCCCCAGCGGCTCTTGTACCTCGAGTGTCGGCTCAGATATGCAGTGTCCTACGCTGGATGCAAACATGGCGACTTAGACCCAACCTGACTAAAACCGAAATAATGTTCCTTCCCCCAATCTCATCCATGTCACTTTTACACCATCCTGATTTCCCAGAACCCATAAAGGTTGTTTCCAACCATAAACACCTGGGAATAATGCTTGATGATCGTCTCTCTTGGTCTTTCCATATTGATGCTCTTTGCAGCCGTTCAAGCTCTGCCCTAGGTGTTATACGTCCCCATTGTTTCCATCTTCCTTTCAAATGTAAAATTTTGTTTTACAAACTGTACATCCTGCCTCTTTTCATGTACGCTGCTGTTAGCTGGTGTGGCTTGTCCTCGGTTCTCGCTGAGCATCTCGAAATCCACCATAGAAAACTTCTTCGTATCCTGTTTAGTCTACCCCCTCTCTACTCTTCTGCTTCCCTGTATGTCCTTGCAAATACTTGCCCACTGTCGACCCACCGTCAAAAATTAATTTGCACTTTTGCTCACAAATTTAAACTAGCTCTACATCCTCCTCATCTTAACGTGTATAACTGGTTCCGAATCACAGATGGCTCCCAGACAAGATGCTCTGTTGCCCTCCCCTTGGCTAAAACGTCCTCCCTTGTACGCTCTCCACTCTTTGTTGCTTACTCTGCTTGGCTTGCGCTGCCCGCTACTACGCGCAATGCCAGTACCCTGGACGCATTTAAATCTGCTCACTAGATTCACCATCAAATGTCCCTCCCATGCTTCTCCGTCTTGACCATTACTTTTCTTCTTTTATTCACCATGGTTGGTTAACACCCACATCTCCCGTACTGGCTGATTTTCTTCTCATGCCATGAGGTGTTGTCTATAATAATAATAATAATAAGGACACTTTTCTGATGCCCCGCCGAATGTCGTTATTGGCGAAGTTGACTGTATTGCAAAGACAAACGTGTGATGCGTTGCCACCCGTACACATGTTGTAAATCACTGGTGCAAGGAGCATTGCGTCATAAATAATGACGTCAACTTGAAATTCTGTCGGGACAGCAGGGTACTAGTATGTGGGGAGTTGCACACTCTGGGGGGGTTATGTACTCTTGCTTCGCATACATACTCATTCTTCCAAGTTGATTCACGTGATCCTGCATTTGAAAGCCCTATTTGAATATTGTCAGTTGTGGCCAGCTGTTACATGTTTTATGGCCAGCTGTCTTCGATGGTATGGTTCGGGACAGGTATGGGATAGCGCCAGGCATGCTGATGGCACAAACAAACACGGTGTGTGGACCCTGGCTAGCGCCAGACGTTACTGAAGTACCCGGTAACGTCTTTTGCATAGCTACCGGAATGATAAAACTACGACGCAGTTGACCAACCCTGCGCCGCATGTGAATGTGTTTGATCAAGAGTCCCAGTGCATCGTGCGCAACTGGAATATTGGGTTGTGGGACGGCGTAATCCGTGATGAAGTACTCTTGGTTTGGTTTGATGAAGCAGAGATGCTAGCCCAGGCTAGGAAGGGTTGCAGCGTTGAGACTTGACTTGAGACTTGGCAACTATGTACAGAACAGTAGAGTAATACTACCGTGACCAGACGTTAAGCGCAGTGGACAAGTAGATCTACCACAAATGTAGTACAACTGTACAACTCTGGTTTCGTTTTGTAGCCTATCTTGGATGGGAGCGTTGGAGTGAAGCGAAACACTTCGAATTCACTTGCAGAGAATAGTTCCGATAGAAGTCGGAACACTACTGGGCAGCGTTTGCATTTGCTGCATGAAGACGGTTGTGTTGAGCCGATTTGCTTTCCTTCGCCAAAGACCTTTGGGGCCTTTAAATTTAAGCCAGCGTGCTAGCTCACCCGCTGGCCAGCCAATCGTGTCTCGGTTCTGGAAGGTCCTGATAAAGAGTTGGACAGGGATATAGCTCAGGCCCGGCAAGGCACCGCGGCCTAGCCACACTCAGATAGTTCATAATCCAGTCATCATCCACTTCTGATCAGTTGTCAGGTGAGACAACTCTTCGACGTGGACGTGGATTTAGCCTACAATACCTGTTGAACTGGTGTGACGGGCAAGGAGAGTAAGTGAAGGCGACACGCATACTTCGTGAGGTCTGGTGGTGGAGCAAAGCCAACACCCGCCCTGGCAGTCACAACACTAAATAAGCACAGACCAGTAAGTCGCGTCTAATAAATTGATGCTGTTTGTCCATAATAATTATAGGTTAGTGCATAGCAGGGAGGGCCTTATGCCCTGCTTCTCCTGGTCACAGGGAATACACAGCAGGGCTCAGCCAGTGCCGAGGAAGTGCTTGTACTTGGTGCAGTGTCGTGAGCAGGATAAACTTCCAACATCTCTACACAGTGTAGCTCTTCAGGCTCACACGAAGACTCAGAAACCGGAATATCTTTCATGATGATTGAAAGTCCAGCAGCACAACAAAGCTTGCAAGGACTGGTTTGGCACAAGCTTCCGTCTCATTGGCGTGTGCTCAGCCAGTTTTTGAAAGAAAGAGTAGACGTTCATTCCTCGTTCAACCTGCAATGAACTGGAGAGAACACAAACCAACAAGACGACGATGGTTCATGTTCATCAGCTCATGTGTTCACCACCGCAGTGCTACCATTCACTTTCCTGCTCCAAATGCACTACCAGGCTGCATGGTACTACGATTTGACGGTAGTAGACCGTGATTTGCATTTTCCAATGATTAGGACTGGTACCATTTCTATCCTTCACACTTAGAACACCTCGACTGCTTCAGAAAACAAGGGGCAAGATTTGATATGGATTATGTGATTGTTGGCTATGTCACCATTTGAAAGAGGGTTGCAACCGTGATAGCGCTGTAAAATGAATTGAAATCTACGTATTGCATGGTATACTCAGCACGTACTCAACAGTTGACGAGGCGAGAATTTCGTGCAAAATTCCGCCCCAAGGTTGTG